ACAGAAGTTCCGAAAGAAGACTTTTCCGATTTCTCCGCCATCGATCCAAAACATCCGTTGCTTGTTGCTCTGACTGAACCACAAGTTTTAGGATTCTAGGGTCGCATCCTCTATAATTTGGTGAGAGAGGTATCCTGGTGAGCGATAGCGCTACAATATTATCCAAAGAAAGTGTTGCACGAATGAACCGCCACTGTTCTAAATCGTACTTTCCGGTCTCTTGAACATCTTTAGAAGGATGTTCTGGCACGCCATGTATGAAGATTGTGTTCAGGCGGTCTTGTTTGCTGTGCCCCTATTCGGTGTTGCTTTTTGATCGTCGCGCGCTCCTAGGGGCATCAGGATAAATGTGTATCCCACAGGATTTGTTTTAGCGCGCTGGTGGAGACCAAAACGTTTTCTACGTCGGTGGAGGATTCTAGTGTTATTCGAATAAGTCTGTGTTCTTTATAGGGTGGCGAGTTCTGATGACGAGTAATTCGTAATAAGTTCATGGGCTTGGCTTTGACACTCAGCTGCACGCATAATGAGTTACATTGGCCTTGGTCATTCGATAACTTACCGCGCAATGTGATGGCGGTAGATTCAGGGACATTTGAGCATACAACAGTCCTGGCACTATTGTTGGATCGCTTTTTCGTTGATCTACAAGGTATGGTAGTTGTTTGTTCTGACCTGCTGTCAAGTTGAAACACTGAGTCCCTTACAACCGCTTCATTAACGACATAGGTTGCGATATGTTAACATTTCGATTGCTCTCGTCAGTCGCTACGCAATACAGGCAGAACAAAACACGTAATAAAAGCGGTCCACATTTAGTAACATAAATAAGCAGATAAAATTGATGTGAATGACGTAATCAGGTCCAAGGCAATCTAATTGATTGCCTCAGTTGTTTCTGAACACAGAGTACGGGACAATTCAACCTTATCAGTAGCGCCTCGCCAATTGCCAACAACGTCGGATTCCTGTTGCGCAATAGCACCTTGAATGAATCGAATGGGTTCACCTGGTGAGGAGTCGTCATTAGGTGTTTGGTGATAGACGAGGCAGGGTTCCGGTTCATTCTTTGCTCCGCTCCGCCTTGGTGAGACAGCAATTGCCTTAGCCACAAGGAGCACTGCCATTATCACCCGACGAGACCAAGGGCGTACGACGCAGTTGAGTTGTTATGCTTTATAAAGCATTGCTCACTGCTCACGAACGCAGAACCGCTGAAACGTTACCGACAACTACTATCGTCTAAAAAGAAGTCTTCTTTATAGGACACTGAAGCGATACATCTATATCTGATCGCAACAACTGCAAATCGCCATCTTCACAAATCGTGAGCTATACGTGAATGATCTTCTGGTATTTGATTGAAGTATCGCCGGTGTACATTGGACTCAAGTGTAGGACGCGCCGATCAACTTCGCGTTAATGTGCAGTAGGTTTTCCTCACTAAGCTTTGAGCACGTGGTCCGACGAGCAAAGTAATCACATGGTAGTTTTCGCGACCACATTGTTCGCACCGTGCGCCATCTATAGAAGTTCTGTTCCCGAGCACCCAATCGACATGTGAATAGCATATAGGGTAACCGATGACTCGAGTGATATCGAGAAAGCCGCGTGAAGACTGCAAACACGGAACATTCGAAAATTGCGCTGAGACCTGCTCTTGTCAACGGAGAATGATGCGTTGCGAAAAGAGGGAGGAGGCTGAATCTGGGTGTCAAAGCAGGTAGACGAGTGCATTTGTTAAAGCCAAAACGAGCTTTACTGATAAGTCCGTATTAACTGGTGCGCAAGGATTGCGACCAGCATTCCTTATTGGGACAGCGATGTAGGTTGACGCAAGAGCCGGGACATGTTGTTTACTGGGACCGCATTCGAAGTGGTGGCATAATTGTGTACGCTGTTCTCTGCAGCTGGTTTTGTTTTTGTTTAGATATATCACACAGATATGACTGGAGTTAGCGTTGCATACACGGCCTCACAGTTGCCCGCTGATGCGTCTTTCAATGAGCCAGACATGTGTTTATGCAGTGCATTGCAGAGTTCGTTGGAACATTGACAAGATCATCCTACATTAACGAGTTGAAAAATGGACTTATCAAGCCACGGATTGCGATGCTGAGATTAAACAAGCCGAAAACACATCTGGTTCGTGATAGTGTTGTATTTGAGGGCAGGTCCAGCAAGCCACCCATATGGAACAGCCAAATCTAACACCGCAAGTCAACCCACTTAAGGCAAGGACAAGGCCACATGTGTGACCAATTTCGCCGGTAGGGAAGTTGAGTGGCAAGCTGTGGGTAGGACTGGGCTTTTGTTTGAAAACCGACCAAGACGAAAGGCGTGTGAACTAAATACATACATGCATTTGCAACACGCTTGATAATAGACATTGAGCACCCGAGAAACCATGGAATGCATGTGTATAATAAGCGAAAAGATTAAGAAAAGGAAAATACGCGAAGATTATTTGTTTTTCACACCCGTTTGGTCATTTAATTGTCAGTTTACTGATTGCGGTTTTGATACGTAGAAGCAATGCAAAAACTTATGCAAGTTTGCAAATGTCTTCGGTTGCGCGCCATATCCTCGAGAGTTCCCAACCAGCGAAGTTCTTCATCTCTGATGCCCCAGTCCGGAAGACATACAGGGCCGACAACAGCTACAGTGGAAGGCAGCGCCTTGACGTTCCGTCGCCATGTGGTAGTGCGGCCCTGCGCGAGCGAATAGAGCGCGCCATCGTGACCGCACGAACGGCATGCGGATGGCATTACCAAGCCACTTCGGTTGGCATTGCGATATTAGCTTGTCAAGAGGTAGACCTGTATAACCTATGGCGCGGCGTTTAACAACGACGTTACTAACGTGATGTTCCCACCGCTAACGTGGTGGTGGAGTACTCAATCGCCGGCTCCAAATGGGTGCGATTTCCTGATTTCGCCCCGCTACCCTGAGATTAAGTTATTCAGCCAAAAGCTCCGGGTGATGTCCCCCAAGTCAACTCCTAAGTTAGGCTCTGGTAACTGGGTAGTACCATCTCCTCTGAGGAAACCTTGGATTTCTGTGTTGTGTTCTGCTTTCTTTTTCTTCAACTGTACCTACCTAGGACTTGCATGGTTTTCATGGCCCCATTCCCATTCCCATTCCTAAACTGCCGAAATCTACAGTAATTGGTGACAAACGGTAATAGTGGAACATTGATAGTATTCTGTAACGACATCCGAAAACAAAAGCTGTATTGAAACGTCAGGCAGCATGCATTTTCCGAACCTAGATGTGTCGTTTAGCTGACAGACCGTTCCGACCGCGCATTAGCTGTTGTCTCCTAGCCAGACCACTACCCTGAAAGCGTCTGATGCTGTGTTATCCAGGCGGCAAAGTTGACTATGATGAGGGGCAGTGAAAACTGCTTGGAAGCAGTCACGCTGGTTTCGCATAATCATAGCCGATTGTGCGCTACAGAGAAGGTGTGATGGCTTGATCTTGTATTGTGGCTTCCAGCACTTAGGTTATACGTCTGATGGCTGTAGCCAAGCCTTAGCATTACTCTTCTACAGAGTGCATCGTCAGGACATCAGCACTACGCCGGTAAGTCGAGTTGAACCTACGTTGCGACGCGATTAATACCAGTTGAGCGCAGGGCTCGGAATACTGTTACGTTGCTCGTGCCCAGGAAGGCGTTAAACGATGACCTCTTTATTACAGCTCAGAAGTATGAAGCAGTTGGCCACAGAGCGGCACCTTCCTTAGTGAAACCTGTAGGTTTATTTGGTAGGGAAGCCTTAGTACGAAGTACGGATACACGACCGAAGAAGATGACCGGAAGATATCCGCATATTCCACAAGCCTTTAACGCACTGACGTATGTGGTCTGTTGATGGAAATGGTTTCCTATAGTATACTAGAAAATATAACATAGAGCGGATCACTTGACTACTGGAATGCCCTGAGCCAGCGCAGTTAAACCGAGCGACTTTTCAGTTTTTCAGCTGGAAAGCTAAAAAAAACTAGTACGTTGGTAGCGAAAGAAGTGGGACATTATCAAACGCTATAAAAATGCTAATGCAACGACGTTATACTCATACTGTCACATATTTTACGATCAACTCTGCACTATCGACGCACTCCGTACTGTCAAATAAGTTTAAATGCTAGTTATGAAGTCAGGCTGAACCGAAGCATGTGGCCATTAAGAGATGATACACGCTTGTCTTTCGAGACACCATGTAACACCATAATGCAGGTCGGCAACTGGCGCCTACGGACAACGCAGAATAAGACGAAGATACAAGAACACAACGTTGCGAAGAGTACTCTTTTCGATAAATCTCCTCAGGCATTTACAATTATAAAATGGAAAAGCACAAAGCAAACGGCTGATGAAGCCAAAGTGGTGGGAATTGTGGAATCACGACAAACAGAAACTCAAAAGTATTGCTCAATACAATCCGTTAACTACACATGTGACAAAGCACGTGTTAGTTGATCGGTGGGAGTTTCTGTTTGTCGTGATTCCACAATTCCCACCACTTTGGCTTCATCAGCCGTTTGCTTTGTGCTTTTCCATTTTATAATTGTAAATGCCTGAGGAGATTTATCGAAAAGAGTACTCTTCGCAACGTTGTGTTCTTGTATTTCCATGGGTATAATCTATGAATTAAGACGAAGATGTTTGAGACCTTCAGCGTTACATTACCCCAAGTACATTGGAGGACAGTGCGGGCAATGGCAAGAAATCGCACGGCTGAAGTGCTTGTGTTTAGCACCATCTAGTGATTGATTTTTAAATAACCGGTCGCCTATACGCCGACCTATCCTGAGGCTTAAAGTGAGACCAAACTGAAGGTAGAAACGTGTTAAGCTTCGTCAGGGCGTGAGAATTAGGAGAAAAGACAGCGATTTTCGCGGAAATAACCAAAGACAGAGATTGAAAAGCAAGAAATGCACTGTAAACCAACTGCGTTGTAAACTAACCGGAAAACATATGGCAGAATAGAACTTACACAGTGCTGGTTCAAGAAGTTGAATGGAGTGTTCATTTTGGAGGAAGAAAGCCGCTTAAAAGGTGATTCATAGTAGAAATGACATCCTCCATCTTCATCGTAACTGTCCAACAGTGGGATGTGTAAAGCTTGGGCGCATGCACCTGAGCATTGGAAAATAATTACAGCACAGTGAAAGGAAGGCTTGGGACTGGACATAGGTAGATGCTTTGATATTGGCAATTAGGTACATTCAAGGTTCAAAATGGGGTTGGAGGTTGTGGTATTGCGAGGAGAAATGCGATCACCTGTCAGTGCCGATGCATTGAAAGCGATACAATTGACGAGTAAAGTGGGAGGACAGAATGGAGAAAGTACGATGTGGAACATCAGTGATGTCCTGCGCGTTGTGCTGCAAGTGATCCTAAGCGTCAGCTAATCAGCAACGATCTGCGCATCGAGGCGCGGTGGATGTAGGTGCACTGAACCCGACAGCTAAAGTAAAGCAGACAACACTACTACTAACACTGCGAATGAATACTACACGTGTGGAAAAGAATGACTGATAAAATCGTCGGATGTACTTGGTGTGTGTGTGTGTGTGTGTGTCGGAATCCAGAGAACAGTTTCATAAAAATGTCAGTGACTTGGTGACTTCGTTATGTCTCATAAGTTCTCTAACCAGTGATGCGGTGTGCTACTGATGATTTCAGTGAGCAAGATCATAGTGGAAATCAAGGATAGATGTTATTCATAATAGTGGACACAACTGCAAACTAAATAGTTTAAAGCAGCAACGAGAGGAATGTGTGCACATATTCAGATGATTGCATAACATGCACTACTGGACGGCAGATTCAACTTGAAAAGAGCAACAGCAGTAAAATCAGGAAAATGGGCACTAACCGATCTTGACATCTTCAGCGAAGATGTTGGCGTTGTTTGAGCAATCGTCTACCGTTTTTAATCCTCGTACCATCAGATGGAGTGCGGCCCTGGACAGTACGTAACCGGCTCCCCCAGATGGGTAACCTTCAGGTAGGAATGCCTGGTACGTTACGGTAGGAAGTGCAAGCGAATAAATGGCAAGTGACACGACGGACAGAAGATCGTTGGAAACAATGCCAGAAAACACCGTTCATACAAAACAAGAAAGCAAACAGGATACTACTGACTATGCCATAATAAAAATAATAATATTGCGCACCGCTGAGTCAATATATGAGACCTTCCTAACCCTAAAACGAACGACGGTTGAATCGGAGTGTTAATTAACCGTTAAGGGGCTTTCGCGCAAAGATCCAGGTCCTTTGCAACCTGAAGTATGATTATTTACGCTCAGTAGTGTACTGTGTACTATGACACTAGCGATTAGCCTTGCACTCGTGTTCCGACATGTTTAGGTCCTTCTGTGGTACAGGTCTACTCTCGAATTTCAGAATAGTCAACGTTTCGGGCCAACGCAGCGAACTGCAGATCTAACTCTCACGTCTAACTGGCACGTCATCTGTAGGCCACCCCACTGTCGTCAACATAGACTCCTATACAACCCGCCCTTTGGTCCACGACCTGCATACGGTAAGAATTAAGTGAGGGGTTGCGTTGTAGACCCGTACCGTGCTCTGAGCTGTTAAACACGGGAGGGTTTGGCATCGGTAGACTGCACGAGGTTGGGAATAGCAGCACTTTAATTCGGTTATGTATTCCACCGCTGAGGCAGTTCACAGTAATCTATTTGTTACTCACCTTCTGCTTGGCCCGAAAATTTGCATTCAAGAAAGCATTGTCGCTTGAGCAAGTGATTTAGGCCGACAGTGTGAAATGATTATGGTAGCAAGGTAAACCGCGGGTGAGCATCTTACAGCCTAGTAAAAAGTACTAATGCAGAAACAGGTAGTCAGTAGCGTAGTAAAGCGAGCACCTTTACAATTCCTGATTATACATGAGAATGATAGAGGTAACCAGTGTTTTGAATTTATCGATGGTTGAACAGCGCTGGCTGTTAAATACCTCTGTACTAGGCTATACACAGACACCAATGCAGCGTGATTCCAAACCAGTGGACGAAATGCGACAGATAGGCGGAACATACGCACTCCTGAGCTGGACCGACAATACACACCAGTTTCCTGTCCGAGGGTGCTGTACGGTAGAAAAAGTGTAGCAGTGAACGGATAATGGAGTCGCAAAATTTAACAAAGGAAAGCGCACCACTCACCTTGTGTGTATATCCCATAAGGAGGGGGCTTGAGGAATTAAACTTCCTCAGAAGAAGTTTTAGGTTGTCCACAATAGCATAGGTATCATCATCCGCCTTGTAGAAGAAATCATAATGATCACCATAGAATGTTGAAAGATAATCTAATGCGGAAGCCGTTTTGTTCCAAAGTAAGTTGCGCCCTTCCCGATGAGTCAACGCTGACGATTTGGAACATAGCGGAAAATCGATCGATGTACAAAGTGGATGAATACGAAATGCTTATGTGGTTAGATGAAGCAAATGTGGATTTCTGAAAGAAAAATGCAACGGTGTGCCGAGAAATTCCAAAGCGTGTAAACTGGTTATCAAAACAAGGTCACCAGTCGAACTAAGAAAGTAGAGTGAGCACATACGAACGACGGAGAAGACGGATGAAAGCTGATGCAAATGGTATGCAGCATCTAGAGAATGCACCAACGGGAATGGCGTGACAATAAAACTTCAGTTCAGTGTACTCAGTCACCGACAATCGGAACACCTGGATGTAGCTGGTTGACTTGCTTACATAAAAAGTATACCATTACTAATAATCCAGAACGATGGGGGAGGGAATAAAAATACAATACTGGCGACAAGTTAAAGTGGGATAATAAAAGCCGTATTCCACAAATGATAGGTTAACGAGTTCATCCATTCATTGAGTTCATCGAGTTGTAGAGGGCATAGGGGAGGATCCATGTTAGCCCCATCATCTCCAGTTCAGCATTAAGAGCATGTATGTCGTTGCGACCTGGTAGTACTCAGGGAACCGGAGCAGTCGCACTAAGACAGTGAGGTATTGGTGTCTTGCGTAGGTGAGCATCTAGGAGCTGTCTGAAAATTTCCTCGGTCGTCGCATCAACAAGTTGCCGGAAGGTGATTCCGGTCATTCACTACCCGAGTTGAGAGAGCGATAGCGGTGCGGACTTCGAGCCACCTCGGTTTGAATAGCTTCCAATTGTCACCTTGTGCCGAGCCATCTAGGTTGAGCTAAAAAATCTGCTGTAGCTCATTCCCAAGTTCCCCTCTTAGTATGCGCCTTGTAAAGATGACGTCTCCACGAAGGCGACGGTATTCCATGGAGAACAGCTTCATCTCCTGAAGCCGGAGACAGTAGGGAAGATTACGAAACTCGGAAATGGACTTAGAGCCACGTGGAATTGTAGCTGGCAGCCCATACTCTAAAATCGATTGTAAATGGGAGGTGAACAAGAGCCTGAAGATCTCCGGCGTCATTCAAGAGAAGGATCTTCTTATGGCACAGCACATCCTGTTTGCAGCGGCGACCATTTTCAGTGAATCATTTGTGGTTTTTAGGTCAGGAGATATTAACACGCCTAGATATTTCTCCTGAGCAGCGTGTTTGAGAAGGAACCCACCAATGTGATAAGCTCTAATTAGCTCAGAAGCCGCGATCGGTAGGGCGCAGCATTTTTCGTACTTTATTGTTAGGCCCCACTTGATGGACTAGTTGTGTAACAGATCAAGGGTCACACGTAGTCAATCAGCAACGTCAAGGTCAGGCACTTCAGACCACAGCTTGAGCTCGTCCGTATAGATCAAACATTCGTTTTGGAGTGGTGCAGGAAGATCATTGATGTACAGATTGAACAGTTCGGGTCCAAGCACTGTCAATCCACGAATGAAGGCTGCTACTAACACCGATTTCCATAAGCTTTCAGAGTAGTCGCTGGTATATGACGTTTGTCCAATGCTTTGCTAAAATCGACAAAAACTACATCGATGCGTTGTCCGGCGTCAAATGACCTAGCCCACTTTTCCCTCACCAGGAGCGTTCCTTCTGAAAACCATGTTGGGTAGAGGAAGTAATGTTAGTTTCGACGCAATCCTTCGGTAGAGAGCATTTGATAATATTTTCCATGACTTTACAGAAGATGGATGTCAAGCAGATTGGGCGATAGTTTACAGGGTCCTGGTGATTTCGTCCTTTGTGAATAGCCATTACGATCTCAGTTTTCGAGTCAATGGGTAAAGGACCAGTCTGCAAAGACAGCTTGAAGACTTCGCAGATGGGTGGACAAGATAGTCAACCACTGTCTTGAGGAAAAGAGGATGCAAACCGTCTAGGCCAGGTGGAGAGTTTAGTTCAAGTAATAGTTACATAACTGTGTCCGCGCTGAATTCAATAAGTTCTAGGCAGTACGGGTGCGTGGACATATGTAAGTTGGTCGACGGAACTTGTGGTGAGCATACAGAGGAGTATTGCCGCGCAAGCTGGTTCGCATTCTCATCATTTTCATAGAGCGCGATACCTCTCGCATTGGATGACAAAGCGCGTATGCTGCAACCGGCTTTGGGTCACTTTTTGAGATGAACGTCTAGTTTTTATGGTCAATAGGAGGATTGTACTGCCAAACTAAGTTCAAACTTTTGTCTTTTCTCACTTTTTTCCCAGAAGCATAGGTTCCTAGAGTTTCTAGAGTTTGGGACAACCTGCTCAGTGAACAAATTCATTTGGGAAAATAAAAGATTCCAGGCATCATCAACATCTAGGTCTTGAATGGTGGTGCAGTCTTGAGAGCTAGCCACTGTTCTTAGGCAGGAAGGATTGGTGCGACAGAAGTTTCGACGGTAGACTCCTTGGTTAAGAGTGGCTAAGTGTTACAGCCACGTGAAAAAGAGAGTGAAGCGATCATTATAGCCAACAGGTGAGAGAGCAGATTCAAGAGGTCAGCAAGTGTTTGTGTCAGGACAACAGAGGGGATTTGTAGTGGCTGATCCGGAAGTATCCTGGTAGGCGTGGAAACGTGTTGTATTAGATTAGCTCCAAGAATTGCACTGAGAATAGCAGCATCAAAGGATTCAGAAGAGAACCTGCAGCTGAGTAGATCACAGCGGACACCAGGCGCATTGACATCCTCCAAAACTTGACAGTTACAACCTCCCCATAGGTTTTGACAGTCCAAAACACGGGCAAAATGCCGAACTAAATAGCATTCTCCGCAGTGTGGCTGTAGGAAATCGGAAAATACCTCGCACAACTGAATCGGAAGACTTAGTGGGCCCTGCTCAGGTGGCTATTAGTCTGTGTAAGCGAAATTTACGCGGGAACACTTCGCGAAGAGCGCATCAAGTGCTGCACACGTTGGCTGGTCATAACTGTACGGGTCAGATGGACACCGCGACCGGCTTAGTACAGACTAAGCTCAGCGCTGTCCCAGGCAGGTGAGGGTTAAGACGAGCGCAGCGAAGGAATAGCGCGTGCGTGCCAGTGAACCAGAGGCGACCAACATACGCCCAGTGGGAGAGGTGACAAAGGGCGGAATTTTCAGTACACATGGTTGTTCGATGCCAAGTGTAAACGGCAAAATACCCATGTAAGCCGATACTGCTCTGGATAAACAAAAATGCACTTGTGTCATTTGTCACACCTGCTTTTGCACGCAACTATCACGTTATACATCGCCCCCATAGCAATAACCCGTAAACCTGATGTATTGTCGCTCATAATGCGTTGTGCAATGGCCAGTTCATTACCAGTGGTTTTATGGCCCAATATATGCGCCTGAGTGACCTCGCTTGCTGACTCTGGCCTTCGTAAACTGTCTGTACCGTCGAAAGTACAGTGATTTGTACTCTGAGTGTGTGCCTTGGAAAGACACGGTTGTTTCCGTACTGAGCAGGTTTTGGTGATGTTTGCCTTTATTGAATGTGATATCCATTCCTATAGTACTATAGTTCCTTTTCTACCCTATTCTGCTTTGACTAGGGAGTTTTATGCGTTGGCCAAAAGTTCCAAGCGATTCTGTAGCCTACAGCAAGCCCGTTCTACTCTTGTTTCTATTCATTTTTATTGTATAAGAATTCCAGATGGCCTATCCTGTGAGACATTTGTCCCGCCCAATGATCCCTTCGCTGTGATTCACCCATTCTGTGAAAAGATTGTTTTTCCATATTTTTTTGCATTTTCAGAATTTGCGTGAATTTTCATTGATGGTACATTAATGAGGAAAATAGAGGAAAGCTGTACGGCATTCCGTAAAAAATGAAGAAGGCCAAAGAGGAGAAAAAGAAAAATGAAGACAGGTTATTAAAATTCGGCAAAAGTACTTCCATGAAAGACGTTTGAAGTGAAAAGCGATAGTCGTGCTGATACCGAAGATGTGGTTGATACTACAAAAGTAGATACCCGACCAACAGAAAGCGACAAGGAGAGCATTGATGCAGTGAAAAGTATTAATAATGATGGTGCATACGTTACGCATGAAGTTGAACAGTTGGAAAGTCAATCACTACATGGTACGGTAACACGCACATCAGCCGATCTTACAGATTTCGGCTTGTGGTCTGTTAAGATTGACCATGAATTTTGCGCTATGCTTATCCGGCTGGGGCCTACTACTATACAGCACCTCGATCATGAATTAAACGAAGTAGCGGGACCTGGAGCGAGGACGAAAGGTGGACCTAACAACGTAGTGGTTTTATCGGGTTCACTGAATGAACCAATACATGTAGCATAGGACGTATAGTGAAACCCGCCAATAAAATGTATCGATAATGAACTGGTGATTTACACTGCTGCGGGATGTTCGTGGCCCTGCCGTTCATGAATACCAGACTTTTTATCGTTGACCAGACTTCGTTTCGGCCCTCGGAAGGTTACACGATATGCTGACAAATGACAAGAAACTGGCATGCCACATCCCGCTCGATTGGTGGACAGCCAGATAAAACAATTCCTGCTCCACTGAATATAACGGAAAGTTTGGTACCAAAAACCAGGGGATGTTAAACGCGAAGTAGATGAACTACGTGGAGCGTGCCCAGTTGGAAGTAGAGTCAGTGGCTTACTGGTTGTATACGTTGAGGCACGCCATGGGCGTTGAGAAGAGGTGGGTGATGGAAAGGTTGAATCGAATGGTGAGTAGAGGGTCCAACTTTGAAAGGTAGTGAAGAAATGTTGTGCGTTTTGTTAAGGTCGGCCAGACGAAACACACAGGATATAGCCAATTTTTGATCACGGTCGTTTGCATGATAATTTGTGACACACAAAGCCGGACCCAAGATGCAGGGATGAAGGTGCAACAACTTGGTTACTCCTTGCCGAAGAACCCACGGAAGTCGCCTGGCTCGAGTTCGTCAAAAAATTCAGTCAGCTGATTGCAGAGGATTCAGAGATAAAAGTTTGCAATAAGTGTACATCAGTTTCGTTCGT